TGAGGGCGTCCAAGGGAAGGTTTGAGGTCTTTTCCTTGGTGGTAATCGGCTGATGATGCTTTGCCGAAAGTTTTGGCTGCAAAATGTGGCCTCAGGCTGCCAGATCTAGTTGAGCTCGGAAATTGAAGCCTCGCCATTGGTCCGGTCACTTTCGGGTGGGGTTTCCGGTCCATCCCGGGCACCTGGCTTCCTTTCTTGCCTCTACAGCTTTCGCCTTGACAATGACTACAGGTACGCAGATGGAAGAATCAGTCATTGTGACGCAAGAACACTTTGAAATGGAGAGCAAGCTCGACATATACTCGACCAGTCTCTCGGGTACATCATTCCCACCAGTCACGACTCAATGGACTCGCATCAATATCTTGATGACTTAATGGCTTTTGACCAATCATCTTTGACCCATTCGTCCTGAACATCTAGCAACCAACTGACATCCATGTAAAAGACAACCCCAGTGAGAGCCGGAACAACATAACTCATTAATCTATGAGAACCATCTCAATGCATTCTCCTCAGCTCCTCAATCAAATTGCGCATGTCCTCGATACATGGTCCGAGGCCTTCGCAAACCAGCTCTTGCTTCCCTTCATCCATATCCAAGAATCTCTCAACCATCTCCCCATCTATAAATCGAAAAGGCCCTTCACTCTCCCGGTTTTCGTTACGGAAGGAACGCCATAGCTTAAATTCGACGCTTCCTGGCACATGAATGTACTCTTCCATCTTTGACTGGAACGTCATAAGCAGGTCCTGGTACTGGGGTGCAATATCACCATAAAGATACAGCGAGCCCTCGGCCTATTCTATATTAGTTTCCGTCTCATCTTTCAATATAGCTTGTGCTTACCGAAGCGAGGAAGGCTCGTGGATGGACAATTCCGTTCTCCGCCATTGGGACATTTAGTTTTCGAATTCGGTTGATCTGTTCGCCAATATTCATTTCGCTCGTAATCTCCAGGCGGCTTCGGTCTTGCTCTGTCGGAGCATCCACGTTTCGTTGCAGGACAACGAGGTTGCCCTTTGAATCAGCCTCCAACCACCTTTCTCCTTCAATATGGCAGACCGAGGTTGCCCATTGAGGCTCGAAGTGGCGTGCCCGTTCTTCCAACTTGGCCTTGTCACCATCTTGCGCGGGGATGAATTCAACCAAAGATAGTGACTGCATCAAATCAACCACACCGATCATGTTGCCGGACACGTCGAGATCCAGAGGCAAGGCAGCCGGGCGATAAACAGCGAGCTTCTGGAGTGAACCGGAACTGCTTGTCTCTTGCAAGAAACTATAGGCCACAACTGTCTTGGACAGTCCAGCAATGATGTTGTCGTCAACCATGCCTAAACAGCGGCAGGGGCCTTTCAAATTGTGAGAGACAATCTGGTACACCTGACGATTTGAGTCAACTCCGAGGACCAGGATACGGCCGCCAGTACCGTTTGGGTCTTCCACCCCATCACTGATGAAGCTTGTGCCAACAATAAATCTCTCCACATGGTTGCCGCCAACATCGGGGAGCTCAGTCCGAATGACACATTCGACAATCTCGAGGCTGCTTGAAGCATTCAATGGGAAAGGTGAACCGAGCTCCTTGAATACGATCTCGTCGACAAGCCTAAATGAACTCGACACAACCTCTTCGTTACCGACTAACTCCTTCTTGATGGACCCTAGACCAAAGGCTTTCAGTCCCGGGGAATAGGCTACCCGTCTGACAGTCTCGTTGACAGGGAGAGCCTTGACGTGTGTGAGTCTTTCCTTATCAACATGGCAGATTCGAATATGCTGGTCGGTAGACAGAATCACGGAATCTGGGAAGGCGTGGGAGTCAAATGGTGCAACAAATGTGGCATCATCGGCGGTTGTGGCAGAGAATATGATGCGTCCCTCGGCGCCATATATGAGACTGGCATGCTCAGTCGTCACAAAGACGTTTGATGTACCATCCTGTTGCGGGAGTACATGTAGTCGAGCTGGGTTACTGCCCAAAGTCACGCTTTTGCGACCAGAGACAGAGAAGCCCTTGGTAGACACATTGAACGTAACCACATTACCATCCTCCATTGCGACCAAAAGTGTAGGCCCCGATATTTCAGGGGGGTGTAGTTGGACAAGTGCAATGTCTCTGGGGACTGTAGCACTATCCTCAGTTTGCCTCATGGACTCTCCATGGAGTGGCTTCAGGGAAGCCATGTCAATCAACGATATTTGTCCAGAAGACCACCAACCGACTACACCAAGATCTGGTGGATCCCGGGCAGCGTGTATGCATGATACTTGATCAGCTTGTGAGCCTGAGTTGTTTTGGCCTTGTTGAACATTGACTGCAAGGTTTTGCAAGAGATTCAGTGAGACGAGAGATGTTCCATCAACCGAAAGCAATGCCCACTTGCTGTTTGCTGACGCTCTTGTGATCGACTTGCCGCTTGGAACGTCCCATTTACTGGCTACCGTGCCCACTTCGGGATCGAGTAAGACAACTGAGCGAGGAGTGATCTGGAGCAACTGCCCGTTGGGAAGATTTGAAGCCAAAAGGGTCTCGGTATCGAGTGTCATGCCCTGGAAAGAATATATCTCTTCAATTCCGCCTTCACGGTCGAAACTGAGAACTCTTGTCTCGGTGATCGCTGAGACGACTAGAGTATCTACCAGGTCAGACCCGTATGAACGGAGGGTGAATAGACCTCTGGTCCCCTCTAGCTCGTCCAGAACACCTCTGTCTTCAAGACCGACACCGCTTCGAATACTTCTTAGGCTCCCATCGCGGTAGGCACCACAGCCTGCCACTATTCTTGACTGACCAGATGAAAACGCATTGCCAGCTTGAGTATCGCCTTCTCGGTTGCCCATATCCATGATGGCAAAATCAAGAATGGGCGCATTGTTTGAGAAGGACTGGACCAGTGTGACAGTGGCGCTTTCCACGTCGATCTGAAAAAGCTGCGAGTCACCGTGGTGTGAAGCCACAAATAAGGTGTTATCCCCAAGATAAACCAGATTGGATGCTCTGGATGTGATGACTGGTGAGCGGCCAACCTTGAGAGGCTCGAGTGTCATGCCGGTTACAACAACGCCGGTGGTTTCAAGGTTTGTGTCAATCGTCAATAGATCCAGTCGTCCATAGTCATCAGCCAACAAGTAATGTGTACCATCGTACTCAGCCCAAGACACAAATATTCTCGGGTCCTGAAGAACCGCAGACACACTTCTGTGTGTCAGGCCATCAAAGTAAGTAAGAAGAGTTTCTCCAATGACTAAGAGGCCACCTAGATGTGCCTTTGCTCCTTCGGTGTTGCGCACATGGTAACGCTTTTCCTCATCTAATGGAACAGGAATGAGCATTGAGGCGTATGGGTCAGGAATAACAACGTCGAGCTCTCTGTCTTTATGGGGATCGAACTTGGAAACTGTGTTCCCTTTGTCATCGTGAGTCAACCTATATATGACCAATCGAGCTTCTTCCTGCTCGAGCTGTGTCTTGTATAAAAAGGCAATGGTCGGGTGGCCGGTTCGGCTGTGGATGAAAGTGCTTGCTTTCATGAAGAGTTCTGTGAGTCTAACCTGGTCGAGCCGTTCCAGCTTGTTGGTAGAGCCTTTGCGTACGGGAAGTTTGAAAACATTCAGCACTCCCTCCCAAAGGTGCATGGCTAGGAATCGTCCGGTCGGATCAACAAGACATTTGTTCTGACTTGACGAATGTCGCATGTATGGCTCTGCCAGGTCTTCGATAACGCGCTCGATGGTCTCCAGTTGTTTTGTTAACGGGTTCCACACCAGGTTGAAGTAATGAAGCCTATCGGTGCCGATAAACAATAGATCGGTCTCTGAACCTTTGGGTCGTAAACATTGCAGCATCGCTATTGATCCGTGGATGAGTTTCGTCTGTAGGCACACGAGGCCTTCTTCTGTGAGACGCCATATTTCAAGTCGGTTCGCCTTCCTGTGAAGCTTCAATCAGCATCTGCTCGAGGCGTCATCGAAGGCGTTGGAGCTCTTACGCCACGACCAAGTCATCTATATCAGGAGAGAGCACATTCGCCCGTAGGGCATGGCGTATGCTCGTAGCGCGATGGATAGGTGCGACATATGCCATATTGTCTTGCTTGTTAAGGAGGTCGCAAGCGTTTGGATGTAGAGGAGAAGCAAGGTAACGGTGTTTGCCCCTCGACGAGGACTATCGAGGTTCAAAAGCTCTCCAATGCAACTAACTGCTTGTCTCCGGGACTAGGTGCATCACTAGCCCCCGGAGTTAGTGCGGATTACGGCGGTCCAGTGGGGTTGGTAACGTTCCTAGACCTGAGGGAGCAAGAAAACATCAGGCCTTCATACAGGGTGTCAGAATAAACTCATCAGTGAGTCTCCTTAACTTGGGCTAGGTTCACCTAGGTATTTTCCTCGCTTAGGCTCAAGGTCCTGAGTTTTCTTTCTTCTCCTAGCTAGGCTCCTAAAATGGATTTGAGATGCATGTATGCCGTTTAGCGGGGGTATAAACACTTGCATGAGGGGAGGCAAGGAAATATAACATGATCCCAACTCCATGACATAAAGATTTGAGTACCTGAGTTAAGTATACCTGAGCATGAAAGGTCTTTCTTCACCTGATACAAGCTAAAAGCTTTCTTGCTGCGTTGGGTCAGGGATACTATATCAACCATCTAATTATAAGCTTAACATCCTTGGTTGGAAGAAATGGTTTGTATCATAAAAGTCATACTCAAGAACTTGCTGAACCCTGAGCTATTTCGGTATAGCCCGAGGATCAGTCAGTGATGAAGCGTGCGCTGCCTCTGGAGCAATAGATACTGCCGTATCTTCCATCGCGCCTTCTGCGCCCAGCCCTTGCCAGCCCAAATAAACATAAACAACCGAGAGTTTAGGGGAAGGAGTGAAGGGAATCCACCAATCCTTATAATATCTGACTCGGACTTGAGTTATCATGTGAAATAGAACTTGAACACTCGCTTTATGACATATTAGATCCTTACGACTAAGTTATCTCAGCATGAGTTCGACCACAGCCTCAACTGCCAGAAGTCAAGAGGTTGTCGATTACGCTATTGAGAACCAATGTTTCCATAATCATCAAGACGCCCCCTATCGATTTCGAGATATTGTCAGACAGCTACGAGAAACTGCGGAATCGGCAAACGAGAATGGGCTAATTGACCAGGCTGGACTGACTGTAGCACCTTTACCTCGCACGAAGATCGCATTAGAGCCGTTTCTCGACGATGAAAGCTACGAAATTCCCATAGACCCTAAGGTCCCTGCTTCTTCTGTATTTAGATTCCTAGGCCAAACAAAAAGCCTTCGACTCCCATCGGAAAGTGTAGATACAGGGTATGATCTACAAAAAGAACTGTCACAATATCTGCAAGATATCCAGATTGCAAGTTCTTGCAACATACTGACCCAATGGCTTCCATTGACCTATGTCAGTGCTGAGAAAGATGAAGGCCTTGGCTTTCCATCCACCATCTCGCGATGGAAAACTTTAGCCTTGCGTGAATTGGAGGGTGATGAGCCTACATTTACGGAATCTGATCACGCTTCGTTCCATACACAACAGACCCCAAACCAGGCTTGCACGCCAGAACAAATCAGGCAGATATTCTCTCTAGAAAAAGTGAGTCAGGATGGGCCAGCTCAGGATTTGGTCTGATTTCGTTAGCCTTATCGTTCAAATGTAGAGCCGGTGTCTCCTCCGCTTTCTCCTGCCTCCGACTTGGACGAACCATTTCTGCCAAGCACAGAACATACGGTGATCGATCTGACCTCAGAACCGAGCAGTCCTTCCAATCCTGCAGTTGAGGACTTAGATTGGAAGATGCGACATGGCTTTGTGGACTCCGAGCCTCCTGCGCCTTCAACTATGCCCAGCTCGCCTCCGACAGCTAAGGCGGCTTTCTTGTCTGATCCGGCAAAGAAGCATTCAGCTCTCAAGTTAGACGTGCCGATGCTACCATCTAGCACTGCCACCAGTCCAGTGCGGAATAATCTTGCAGAAACTTTGGCACCTCATCTCCTGCACTCTGAAGAAGCACCCCAATCTCCAGCTGAGGATGGGGGGTATTTTGAAGAAGCATTACAGTCTATATTAGACGAGAAACACCGCCAGGCAAATCAACGATTGGAACAAGAACGATTGAACCCAGAAGACACTTTATTACGATTGCGGGTACCAGCAGTCGATTTTCAGACACCCGATCCTGAATGGATGCTGCATTTGTCAACTTCGCAAGATCATTTTGGATGGCTACAACAATCACTTCCCGGGACTTTTCATCTAACCTCCTACAAGAACTTGAGTCGTCTCGAGGCATCACTTAAATGGACACCAATTCCTCATAAAAGTGGCCAAGTTTCATTAACTGAGGCAGCAATTCAGTTGGGACCTACTGCGAGAGAACTGCTTACCCTAAGGGCTCCCCAACTATGCAGTCACAATTATGTGGTTTCTCGAAATCTACTAATGGTGCTCCAAATCCTCAATGATGAAGAGATTGAACAAGAAGCCGCCTCTGTTGTAGTGTCATCCCCGTCAATCTGTCACGGGAATCAGGACAGCTCGACGGCTACTTTTCAATCCCAGGAGCCTCATGTTGCACCGTCTTTGATGGAATTGATAGGTTCCCGAAGACAGGCCACGGGAAATAGGTCTGCTTGCGAGAGAAAGAATCTGTTGCTGGAGGCCACTGACCCAAGTGCGTCCAGCACCTTGTTGTCTGGTTTCATGCAGCTTCGACAACCGAAAAGGCTGAAGAAAAGCAGCAGCTCCTCTCAGACTCTGGCAGCCTCAAGAGACATGCCATCCATGGCTGGTCCTATAATGCTACCCATTATTCAAGAGGAGGCCCAGAGTGAGCTGCAAAGCGCTCCGGTTCCTCATTTCGACATTCCTCAGGAGACTTGTCGCTACATAGTCTCATTGGACTTGAATCGCAGTACTCTCTCTTATATAGAGAAAGTCTGGCCACAAGCTGAGCTCATCGACCGAGACTTCTCGCAGTACAACACAGTTGCTTGGTCTCCTGGATCGGCTCAAAGAAGGGAAATCATTTCATCATTGGCGTTTGAGGCTGATATATCCATGAGCCCTGGTACCGGCCTTATCTTGACGACGATACTAAAAGTGAAACAGAAACCTCTTCCTGGTTCCAGTGCTCTCACACCGTTTCGTGAGAGAGTCAGACGAGTAAGTGAGAAGTATGAATCTTTATTTATACTGGTATCAGAAACAAATCCACTAGGAGAATATGTCGGGTCACCAACACCCTCTGATATCTCCGGGTATGCCGATTTCGTCCGTTTCACGACGAGTCTTCAAGCGGGCATATCAACACATCTGGTTTCTGGCTACGATGAAACACTTTCTAAATGGGCTTTGTCAATCATGTCCCGCTATTCTTCATCAGCTCATCAATTTGGGCCTTTCCTTGACTGTCGTGATGGTGCATGGGAGTTATTCCTTCGCCGTGCTGGTCTCAATATCAGCGCAGCACAAATAATAGCAGGTCTGCTAATATCTGAATACGGTCAAGGCGGACTTGCGAGCTTTTTGAGTATGAGGGCAGAAGAAAGAGTCTGCAAATATGGTCAAATCATGGGAGGTAGAAGAATACTAAACAATGTCTCGAGAATCTTGGACCGAGAGTGGGTGTAAGTCGGCTACACAAAGAAAATATACGGAGTAACTGGAGCACAATGTTTCTGGACTTTATGGGGGGTTGAATGCGTTTAGACCTACCTGTGAAGACTAGAAGTCCCTGACCTGCCGATTCATGGTCAGGTAACAAGAGATGCACTCGAGTATGCAGGTAAGGGCGTGTTGCAAATCACAATGAGCAGCTTCAAGCAATATCACATCGCAGCACAACAGACTTATGCCCACTGAGCTCAGTGAGATCGCTTCTATTGCCCTATATACATACCCATGCTTACCGTCTACCATGATACGTCTAGTCATTTATCTCAAACACTATTAAAGTTGGGTCAGGTGCCCCCAAAATGTTCAAAATCGTTTAACAGACCTCCCACATTGGCCGCGGTAGCGTTCGTAAAGGCAAGGCGCCCTGTGAGGTTTTTAGACCAACATAGACGACTCGGCGCGTGGGGTTCGAAAGATTGACGGAGCGAGATTGGATGCCGTAGTAGTCAGAGATGGTATGTGTGAGCCAGCGCCTAGAAGTTGTTAGTAGTGCTCTGTACCTTCGATATTGACACTCACTTGAAGGCGGCGCTTTCATCTGTGCCGAACGAGTCAAATAGCATGCCCGAGTCGACCGTCTCCTGTGACACTTCACGATGCGCATGCTTCCATGTTGCCTTCTTCTCTCTAAGCTCCCTCATGGCGCCGTTCCTACCGACGAACACAATCTCTTCATCGTCTGAGTCCATCTGCTCAGCTGCACTATCAGCATCTTCCTCAGCGGTGACAGCTGACGTTGTGGCCATAGCCTGCTGATTAGCGAGATATTGTCGCACAGGCTCTTCCAGGGACCGCACCCAGGTGCGCACAACGGGGCTACGCTTGGTAGCTTCGCGCAGATCGCGAGGAATCTCACCAGCACCGAGACCCGTGGCGCTGCCTGCCTTGAGTTGCTGCTTCTTGCGTTCGGCAAGGAGACGGGCCGTCTTATCCTCGACCTGTTTGCGCACGCCACGGTCCCAGAACTGAGCAAGCTGGTAAGGCACTCGGTGGATCGGATGAGTAGGATGGACTTCGTAATCGGAAGGCAGAGGCGGCTGAGCGTTGGGGACGCCCATCAAGCGGTCTAACATAATGAGGCCAACGATCAGTATGCTGCTGCGCAGAAGGAAGCAGATCCGAGTTCGGAGTGCTTCCTTATCAATGATAAAGCCATACCATTCTCCCAGCGACGACGCTGGCGACTGCCCTCCTTGCCCTTCAGAACCATATCCCGCTTTCGCTGACTATCCCTCCTAGAAGGTGGTCGTCTCAGGGTCGATATCGGGGCCTCATCTTCATCAAAACTGACATTGCGCCCGGGAGAATTGGACTCGGCTTTGACAGCTTCATCTAGGGGAATCGCAAGAGGAGTGCCGGTTCCACGCGCGATCGGAGAAACGCTAAGAGATTGAAGGGCCGAAACAGTCCAAGCATCGATATCAATGCTCCCATTCTTGACTGGCGTAGGAGGCGAATGTACTTGCAAAGCCTCCAGCGGGAGATTCGTCGCCGCGGGAATGGGAGTATTCGAGGCCGACTGTTGTTCGGGTGGCGGGACGGAGCTGTAGATAGCCATGATGATAGGACGCGCGGGGTGGTCGCTGATGAAAGAGTAGGTAGGTTACGATAAGGATAAGGCTAAAGATGAGAGTGATTGAAACTCTCGACGATGTCTTGAGACAGAGGCTCTAGGTTTGATAGGAAGAAAGAAAGAATCTCTAGGTTCTAGGTCTTGAGATGAAAGAAAGAAGGAGAAAGGACAGAACGATAGAGATGGTGGCTTAATTGATCGCCGGCATTGGATTGGATGCTACAGGGCACCTCTAGACCCTCCCCCTCCTGTCTCATACCTCATACGGGAATTGATATGAACCGATGAATGACACGCGGTGATTCATTCAACTTGATTAGATATAATCAACCAATCACATCTCGACCGCATCCCACAGGGGGCAAGCCAGCGACACCCAATTCCGCAGTTGCAGGCGATGCGAGTCACCCGTCTCCCGCGGAAGCGGGGGGGTCATTTAGGGCCATGATAGGGCCCAGGCATCAGGCTTCTTCTATTCTCCAAGCTGATGAAGCTGAGAATGACCGTTACTCGAGACTTACTTCATTGGTAGAATGCAACATCTCAGCATTGACTTGAGGAAACATGATTTCATGTTAATCAGTTGGCTCGGTATCTGACATTACCTTTTATCTCGCGTAGGGAGGCAAGGAATGTTGTCGACAAGCATTCTCTCAATCTTGGCCGGGCTGACTTCGAGTCATCAAGCCCCCCCACACATACCTTGCGTCGTAATATGTATCTTCAATGAGTCAAACTCGGACGGCTCGGCTGTAAAGAAGAAGAAAAATGTACATTTCTAAAATGGATGCAATCCTAGGTAATCACTAAATCCCAATGAAATACCTCAAATAATTATGGTATATCACATGCTCGCTGTTGGCCCTGAACTCGTCTTGTTTAAGGTAAGGTGAGAGAGGTGAATTCCTCAGTGTTCAGCGGTGGCGTCGTATGTCCTGTGAGGGTTGCCAATACCGCCAGGTTTTAGCAATGGTTGGCTCTCCCGCTCGATAGCACGCTCTTCTCTCTCTTGGATATCGTGCAGGTCCTCCTCCGTTTCTGCGTATCTCTCCGGGTGACCGGTGAAAGGTCCTGGAAGACCACGCTCCCAGCCCTCAGAATAGGTCCTGCTGCCTGGCGGGGGCCTTCGGGGCGCGCTCGAGTACTGCACAGGTGAGTGTGGTGCGCTGTCGAGGTGGCCGTTGGCATGACCGCCATGCTGCCGCGCCATGTACTCGTAATAAACACCCATGAAGAGGACTGATCCCTGCATAGATGCAGTGATCAAGTAAATGAACCATGTGCTCCATCCTTCCCAACCCAGACGGGCAAAAAGGCTTCCTGCGAACAAGAAGCCACCGGGCGTCTGGATACACATCATGGGGATGCTCAGACTGCCGACATGTTTCAAATGGTATGTCATCCAGATCTGAGGCACGTATTGGATAGCGGCCAGAACTGTGGCCATGATTCCCAGGAAGTTGGCCCAAAAAACCAGATGATCGGGCAGAGCAATGAAAAAGACACCCGTCAGGATAACCACAATGAGGCCGTGGAGGACACAGAGTAGTCCGACCATGACAGCGGTCTGCCATCTAGGTGCATTGCCACGAAGATCCTCTGGTGGGACATTGGCTTCTCTGTATCTGAAGAAGATGAGGAAAAGGACAAGACTGGTCAAATGTTAGTGGAGAAAACAAATCGAGCTAGGTGTGGAGGCTAACATGAGGCTGAAGCAAAGCCATTGAGCGCCTAGCTGGGCAACGCCGAGCAGACCGGCGGCGCACTCAAATCTACCGAGCTCTTTGCAGCATCCTATGGCAGCACGAGACGGTGGGACAGTAAGGATATTGGCGAAACCGGCAGTAGCGGAAGTGGTTCCAAGCAATACAAAGTAAGGTGAGATGCCTTCGGAGGTGCCTCGGGAGATAATGCGATAATGCTGAGGGAGGTAGGACACGAGAATGCCGAGTAAGAGGACACTACAACATCAAGGTTAATAACAAGGACACACGCCGTCAAATTTAGAGAGGGGTTGCGCAGCCATACATAGAAACGACGAGCTCAAGATACGAGGGCGTCTTCAGCCGGTCGCATTGGTCGTCTTTTGGGGCGAAAACGTCCATGGCGGATATAAGATGAAGTGCGCGAAGGTATAATAACACGGCCGCGCAACTTCGGGAGAGGATGATTGAGAATTCGTCCCAGCAGGTGTCGCGAGGGGAATAGAGAGAGGCACACGAGAGGCCTGGCAGGCACGAAAGAGAAAATGATCACAAGTAATCACGAGATCAGACGAAGGAACGCCAGGGTCCAGTCGTCTCGTCAAAGAGGTTTGCCCAGCTTAGCTTTGGACTGGTTTTGGGCACGGGCTCGTGTGGAGAGAAATGATAGAAGGTCGGGCGCCCTGCGTTGCTGGGGAGTGACGTATGATGGGTTATTTTAGTCGGTGTCTTGCCTGGGCGAGGCTGTCTGTGTTTCGCGGGGAGGGGGCAGCGTTGTAGAAGAGACTCAAGACAGCGTAGCGTAGCGGGAGCTGGAGCTGGAGTGGAAAACCAAGCGAGTCGGTACTGACCGATAGTCGACGATACGAGGATATGAATTGCCTGTGTTGGCCAGCTGAACTAGGAGATCATGATTGGTGAGACAGAAGAGAGGAGAAAGTTTCAAGAAACTGTCTACCTATCAAAGGGAGAATCTTCTTACGGATTGGGGTGAGATGCGATTAGATGCGCTGAGATGGAGAAAGGATAAGAAGAAAAGACAAGAAGAGAAGAAAGGAAGGAAGTCGGAGAATTAATTAATGTACCTACCTAAACAAATGACGACCACCTCAAGCTGAATATGAGACTGTTCCTTCCTGTCTTTCTTACCTAAAAGCTAATGGAAAAGCGGGTGGCTCTAGAAGGAAACCTTCGAGCACCTGCCCTGAATTGTTCCAACAGTAGGTAGGTAGGTACAGTATGTACCTTACTAGGGGTGCAACCTGAACATCCAAGATTTCAAGTGGTGATCCATCTCCCACTGCAACTTAGTACTAAGCTTGTCCAACTACAGTCCCGAGTATAGGGAATACACTTCCGCCTGATATTCACACCTCGCGTGTTTCATTTCTTCGGCAGTACATACCTGGCCTGGACTGAGAGCCTAAAATTATAGTGACCCGGAAACTGGGACGCAGCGATAAATGTCCTGAAATATACCTGTAGTCAGCGCCTCTTCTCAACTCTTCACAATAGTTGCCAAGGCGGAAAACGGCGATCTCGAGCTGCCCTTTTTGTGTAGTCACCCGCTGGACTCTGCAGAAGAGAACTAACTATGCCAACGTATGGAGTACCTACGGAGTATGGCCATTGGATTTGTCGGAGGCCGCTGAGGAGGTCCTTTGTCTTACCGGGGGGGCTTGGCGCCAATGCATATGACGTTAATATGAGGATATATGAGACAGTCGACGATGGCCTCAGTTGTTTGATCTACAGTGAGAGGTCCTTCAGAATCTGTCTCAATAGAACGAATGTCACAGGACCCTTGAATCGTCCAACCGAAAAAGACCCTTGGAGGTTACGGTCTCGATATTAGAGATTGGCCATGATCGTGATAAACGTGTAAGTGACAGTCAAACAAAGTGAAGGTCTCCACTCATGTACCTCATTTTCTCGTCCATCACCATCTCGCAACTTTCAACTCAACTTACACCATGAACATGGATGATCCTGAATCGGCAACTGAATCAGCGCCCTCACATTCAGAGTTGCAGCCGAATGATCTGCAGGATCAGGACAGGGACCGTGATCAGCAGCAGCAGAAAGCACCATCATTAAATCTCATCGCTGAAAATCAAATCATTCAGCCTGATAATGTCATAAACGACCAAAACCCTTCCACCACCAAACAAAATTACTACACCTCTGCACAATGGACTGCCGATGGAACATCACTCATCGTATCATCTGCCATCAACTCAATATCCACCTTTGTCCTCCCTGAAGATCTCCTCGACCCATCAGCTTCACGCCCCCGACATCTCCAGTATCAATCCTCAATATCACTCCCTGAGCCTTCTCAAACCATCATCCCAGCGCCCTTCTACTCTCTAGCTGAGCCGTCATCGCAAACAGTCCTCGTAGGATGTCGCGATCACCCAATTCAGCTCTACCATCTCTTCCCTCCAGATGATGGTGGCCTCGCGTCGCGTTCTGCCCCACTTGCTTCGTATAAATTAATACGTTTTGAAACAGAAGAGTATATCACGCCCTCGTCTATCCTCTGGGATGCACCTGGGACGCATTTCCTCGTCGGCTCAACGAACCGACTTGATTACTTTGACATGACTCGACCAGGATCAGATGGTCCGATACTTACTATACCCACCATCCCTTCTAGACGTCATATACGGAAGGGAAATGGAGTTGGTATGAAGGGCACCGTCGCTGCTCTCGCTTCCTCGCCTGTGGATGGTAACGGGAGCTCTGTTATTGCTGCAGGGACATGGACACGGTGGATGGGATTGTATGATGTGCACCGCTCAGACAAGGTTATTGCAAATTGGTCTCTCCCTCGCTCTGAGGACTTACCAGGAGGAATAGGAGGTCAGGGAATTGTTCAGGTCCGCTGGAGTCCATGCGGCCGATACATGATCCTCAACGAGCGCCATGCCTCTGGTCTGATTGTGTATGACGTCCGCGGAACAGGCGAACTCCTCTGCACCCTTCGAGGTCGGAGTGCACCCACACAGCAGAAGATGATGGTGGATGTCTTTGCTGGCGATCCCTATGCTGAATTCCCATCCTTTGAGGTCTGGGCAGGGACACAAGACGGTGGTGTTGCGGTGTGGGAAGGCGTTGGCTCTCAAACTGGCGTTGTAGATCCATCATGGACATGGAAGCCCCATGATGCGCCGGTAGGAAGCACTGCTTTGCATTCGAGCGGTTCTGTAGTCGCGACATGTTCAGGAGGATGGGGGTTTATAAATTCGTCAGAAACGAAGACAGTGTTCGACGAGTCTAGTGTCAAAATCTGGACTATAGGAGGTTGACTTAATTAAAAACACGGTAGGCTGAACGGTAATCATGCAACTTGGTAAGATGTCACTTGGAGGAATCTATTACTGTTGAGCACAGGTTCAAGACGAGTAAGTATTAGCTCTTCCGTTCAGAGTCTAACTTTGACTCCCATTGGATATAAAGAAGCAAAAAGCAATGAAGTGGCAAATGAAGATGAATAGAAGTCTTTTCAAGTCAATATTGGTTAATTTCTTTATATCATAGCTATCTACCAGAAACCCATACCCATGACCGTGTGGCCATCATGTCTCATGATTAACCCAAGCAGCTCTTCTATTCCAGCACTGTTGGGAACCGCTCATTACAACTTGCAACTCCTCCTTTATAGTAATGCAACTCCGGATATCAACTCCATATGCTAACCCAAAAGCAAACGCCAAAGCAATTCTCGAGCTGTGGTGTCACCCGCCGCCTGTTTATGTGCCGTCTCCCCTTTTCATCAGATTCATATACAATTAGAACCACCCAGGCCCACGATTCTGCTGCCACAACGGTCCTCCACCACCGCCGCGGGGTCCAGGATATACTTGGCTCATTTGGCCAGGCGTACTAATCGCTGTTCCAGGTCGTGGGTGTTCCTCGCTGATTCGTCCCAGGCCGGAATTGTAACCATGGTCGAAGTCGTCGTCTCGCGTCAAAGGCACCTCATCATGCTCCATGTGCGAAGATCCGCCTACAGCACCCGCTGAATTCCCATAGCCATAATTAGAAGCAGGATCCCATGGCTCGGAATATGGCTCCTCGTGGCCAGCAGCCGAGTTCATAGTGCGCTGCTGGTTCCTCACTGGAACCGGTGGGGGCGGTGCCATCTTGTCTGTCTCATGCATAGGGGGCACCGGAGCAAAATTATGATTATTGTCTAACGGCGGACTAGAAAGAAAAGGTCTGTTAGCTTTTTGCGCAAAAAGTATAAAAAGAGGTCTTTCATGGGGACGCTTACCCAATGTGCTGCACCTGGTGTTTCACGCCTGGCCCCTGGCGCGTATTTCCCTTCTTGCGCTTCCACAGCCAAATGCCGAGAACTATGAGAGCAGCGAGGGCTGCTACGCCGCTGATGGTACCGCCGATGATGGCGCCCGTATTCTTGGAGCCATTGTCTTTGCCGTCGGTGTCAGGGGCATCAGAGTCGCCAGATTCCGTGGACGATGGGTCTGCAGTCTCTGAAGCTGTGGTTTCTGTGGAGGTGTCGGATTCGGTCTCCGAGGCTGTTGAGGTTTCCGACTCTGTTGAGGAAGTTTCTGAATTCGTATTTGTTGTTGATGCTGTTGACTCTGTTGACTCTGTTGTTGAACCTGAGGAGGTTTCTGTAGATTTTGTAGATGCACTCTTTGCTGTTGATGATTTTGTGGCGGAAGTATCCGTCGTTGTTGTCCTTCTCCTTGTTCCTAGTGTTGTGGGTTCAGATAGTGAACTCACTGGCTGTGTGAGAGGAACATTAATGCTTGTGAGGTCAATTGCACTCTTTCCTGAAGCTGTAGCCACAACTTTTGTCGCCAAACCAGATGTCGAGCCGCATCCGAATTGGAAGAAACCACCCTCATAGCTATTTCTGTAGCACGAGTTGCTCCCTCTGCAGGTGAACACATATGGATTCACCTCTGTTTGCGGTCCACTGTCTGCATCCACACAGCCTGTGAATACACCCGATGTACAAGATCCGCCATCGGGACAACATCCCACGGCGCCGTGATCGACGTCTACTACACAGTGCGATCCTGCAGAGCAAGTTGCTGGTAGTCCAGGATCTCCCCCTAGATAACCACAGACAGTGTTGAACTGCCTTCGTAGCAATAATGAGTCGTCGGGCGCAGGCGTCGCGGCGAGAGGATACGGCAGAACATTCAGTTCATAAAAGTCCACCGTCTTTGTCGCCTGTGGCAGAACGTGGCCCGTAGCGAGATTGAGAACGCCAGAGATGACGAGAAACGGCGGTAGACGCGCCATTGGAAGGGCCGGGGTCATGATTTGCGATCTCGTGAATCTAATCTCAAGCAAACATGGTATAGTTGATCGGTTAAATCTATAGTGTAATTAAGATCGTGGGCGGGTTTTCTTTTGGTTGA